CGCTGTGCCCGCGCTGGCTGGAGCTGCTGAGGACCTACCTGGAGCTGGTGCTGTGCGTACTGAGCAGCGTCCGCCACAACAGGTAGTGGCCCCGCCTCGCCCGCTCCCACGGGGCCCTGGCGCCTTCCCTCCCCCTCGAGGGCCCGGGAAGCTGCCAGGGGAGAGGTGGGAGCCCCACTGCTCAGGGGAGGCCTGGCCGAGAGCTCAGGAGAGCAAAATCACCCCCTGTTGCCTCAGGGAGCCGCTGGTGCTGTGCGTACTGAGCAGCGTCCGCCACAACAGGTAGTGGCCCCGCCTCGCCCGCTCCCACGGGGCCCTGGCGCCTTCCCTCCCCCTCGAGGGCCCGGGAAGCTGCCAGGGGAGAGGTGGGAGCCCCACTGCTCAGGGGAGGCCTGGCCGAGAGCTCAGGAGAGCAAAATCACCCCCTGTTGCCTCAGGGAGCCCAGCGCCGGGAAAGGACTCGTGCAGCTGGGGCAGCAGGAAGCCCTGAAGGTCTTGCTCCTTTGTAGTTAGGTGCTGCGCTGTCTTTGGGAGAACGGGCCTGTTTGACCTATGAGGTTAACATGTGCTTGAGGCCCACTGGACAGCAGTTAGCCTCCCTGTTATGGGAGGGGCTATTGGGGGTATGGCAGTTGATTTCAGGGGGCAGGTAAAAAGAAAACAGGCAGAGATTCGTGAGAGCAGGAGGGAGACCATGCAGATGAAAGCCGGGGTGTGAGGAATTGTATGAAATCATTGTTGGGACCTGTGACATGGCTTGATAGATTTCCAATTCCTATGGTACTTGCTCTTCGAACTACTGAGCCCACCACACATTGCATATATCACGCAATTGCCTGCTCAGTCACGCACTGCTTTTAGACCAGCCTCATGTACAGACTAAGACCCCCCACAAGGACAAAATACAAGTATCATGCAAGTGGTGAATTGCTTTAAACAGCATAACCATCAATATCATGCAAGTGGTGAATCTAAATGTACGTTTAGACCAGACACACGCATGACAGTCACTTTGCCCTTGTGGCTAGTCTTGCTTTGCACATGAGGCCAGTCTGAATGTATTGTGCGATTCACTAGTTGCGTGATAATTACTTTGCCCTTGCATCTGGTCTTATTTAGCAGCTGGTGGATCATAGGGTACCCTTAGACCAGCCACACATGCAAAGTAAGACTGGCCACAAGGGCAAAGTAATTGTCATGCAACTGATGAATTGCACAATATGTTTAGCCTGCCCCCATGTGCAAAGTAATTATCACTCAATAAAAATGACTGTTCAACTGTAAGAAGAGCTGGCCAGCTACACAATTAATGCTTGAAAATGTGTATTGACTCTGTAGCTTAGTTCTATCCAGCTTTAATTGAAATGTGTAGACGGATCCTGTATTAACAACTTGTCAACTTAGTGCTTTTGAGGAGTTTGGTATTGGGCAGGGTGATGGTTATGCTGTTTAAAGCAGTACAAACATCTTGCATTGTATTATCGTGCTAGCTGTAGAATATCAATATAAAACAAGGCATAGATGTGGATTCACTTAC